AATACTTCATGTGCTGCCTTGCAAGCTTTTCTTTCTCATTAATATAAAAATATTTTGTAATGGTGCACAGGAAATTTCAGTTGGAGATGCTCCAGGTTAATGTTTGTTTTGAAGATTTATGATGCATTTATTCAATCAAACCTCTGTCAGCTGTTCCGCCCCTTTGACCTTACACATTCTATTACAATGAGTTTTGCAGTTTTGCACACTTTAAAAAAAACTCATCATTAACTGTTAGGGAATTTTACTTGAATACTCAGTACCTACGATGTTTTAAAAACAGACATTACACATGTTGTGGTTTAAGCCTTCCGGGTGACTCCCCCCATTTTATGTACTGGGCATGACGTGCTGTGGTATGGAATACTCCTTTGGAGAGTTTGGGTCAGGTGTCCTGTCTCTGCTTCCTCCTGGCTTCCCCTTCTCCCTGGCAGAGCATGAGACTGAGAAAGTCCTTGGTCGAAGTAAACATTACTGAGCAACAACTAAAAACATCGGTGTTATCAGCATTGTTCCCAGACTGAAAGTCAAGAAACACAGCACTGCACCAGCTACTAAGAAGGAGAAAAAATGACTGCTATAGCTGAACCCAGGACACACACAATATAGAGGAAGATAGTGTTGCAGTGAATTCTCAACTCTGTGCATACATGAAGATGCATACTTTTAAAAAGCAGAGCTTGTCCCAAATACATGGTTTGCTACTATAAAAAAAACATCAACCCAACACCAAAATGACGAACCACCCAACAAATTAGATTTCGAAACTGGCAGCATTGTTTTACTTTTTCTTAAGATGTAGCCAGGAATAGGGCTTGAGATTCACTTTCAGTGTTTAATTGACATGTCCAGACTGCAGATGACTTAAGAGTACAACTACTGTTGCATACAAATGTGAAGTAGCTGACAAAACTGTTCTCTCTAAAGTATGCCATGAATAGCTGTCCCCAAATTAACACTTTTTTTTAGGACATAATACAACCCCCCTTTAACTTACTGGTGCTGACATTGGAGTTCGTTAGCTGTGTTCTCACCTAGATAAACTGTGTGTGGAATCTGTAAGGGCCCTGTACAACAGCATTAATGGTAAGAATTAGAATGAGACAAGGCAGGATTTCCAGTAATTATTATTGGTAAACGAAGGTATAAAATGACTTCTTTCTTCTTTTTTCTGTGGGGTTTTTTTTTTGTTTGTTTGGGTTTTTTTTTTTTTTTGGTATCTATTGATCAATTTTGCTCATCAGATTTATGATTCTAACTTCTAACAAAGCTGATAAATATTTTCTTACAGGTTTAATTACACTTCAGTAGCTTAATGGTTCAAGATTGCTGGTTCCAGCACTCATTATTCCCACTGTTATTGACAAACAGGAGGTGGTTACCCTGGGACATGACATTTAACTCTTACCCTTGAAATCATGTTTCATTGTCTGTTTTTTAACAGTTGAAAATTGTGTTGGCTAATAAACAAAAATGGTTGTGCTTTAAAAGTATTCGGATATTGACACTGCTGCGTGTCCCACTTTGGATAGTAAAAATTGGATTGGTGTGGTTCTGCTATGTAACACTGAGGGCCGGATTGGAAATCATGACGCAATGGGCTTTTGCACTGTTATTTTTCCTTTGGAATGTGAAGGTTGGAATGAGGGTTTTGATTTTTTTGAATGTTTTGAAGTCTGAGCAGCCTTGCTTACATTTTATGGTGTAGTCATTGGAAATGGAAAAATGGCATTATATATATATATATTATATATAA